ATATGTCCTATACACCTGCGCAACGTCTCTGACTAGATTCCCCCTCAACTGACAGTTGGTTTGTTCTATCCTAGAGTAGATAATTACTGATGGTCTCTGACCAATCGATCCAGAGTATCTTTCATAGACAGTTGTGTTGTAGTTCTCCAAGTTGCAGACCCATACCGGATAACTGTTTTAATGTTGATATTGGAAATTGTGACTTCGTTGTTGGGTGACAGTTGTTTCGAGTTCCAGATGATCTTCAATCATAGGGATGATGTGCTTGGGTTTCCCAACTCGTGTTCTCACATCTGCATCAGACCCTTCTTGTTTGCCAGTGGTACTACATAGGTACGTTAATGCTCGCACTTCTTCCATGTGTTCAGCATCAAGTGTGATTTGGTAGGTACTGGATGTATTGTTCTTCAGCATTTCGCTTTTGTCCTCATGAATGTTGAGGTATAGTTCTGTGGAGCTGAATGCTATACTATATATGTTCTCCTTGATTTGTTGGTGTGTATGGGGTAGCAGTGCTTTTCGTGAGATGTGGAGGTCTTCATACTCCAGTCAACAGTTAACAGAAAGAAAAAAACGACATCCTGAACTTCCTTATTATGGAGATGTAATCGATGTGGTCTGATGTATTTTGAGTCGGTGAAACTTATGTACCTTTGTGTATTTGTTTTGGAGGAGAACAGGTTTACCGTGTTGTCGAGAGCATACTTATTTTCTAGTCTCTCGTTCCTTTCTTCCAGTACATGTCTCTGATGTCTTCACACCCCGTGTTTTCCATCCGACTCTGGTATTCAGGTCTTCCATCGGGATGGTCAGGTCCTTTCCTGAGCACTTCTCTACGACTGACCGTAACCTCCCACAAAACTGATCTCTTATCGTCTCCACTGCTACGATTTGTGTGTGTGGCATTCATTGTTATCCTTTCTCTCATTGTTCTGAGGGATGCTTTGATGATCGTGAAGCCATGAGTGCTTTCTTTGCTTTTCTGGACAGTATCAGTGTACCCCCTCATGTGCGTTTGCTAGGTATTTTCGTCCTGATGACCGAAACACAATAATGAGTCTTTTGAATTAAGCTTTTCCTGTCCAAAATATGTTAAGTTAGTTTCACGTGTTCTCATTTCTGTGGCAATGTAAATTACCCTCACGGTCTCTTACATTGTTTAGAATTCCCACGTCTGTATGTTTATTTTTCCTCTGGTTTTCCGGATAGTGTTGTCTTCGGAGCTTTTGAAGGCTGCTATCTCTTACCATCAAGATTCTTCGAGTAACGAGAGAGATTGTAAATATTTTATTTGATGTACTCTGATTATCATTTTTAGTAGGGTAACATAGCTTTCTCTACATCTGATTATGATTGTTAAAGTTAGTAGAATTTGGTTTGATGACTACCTATTCCCAGGACTATCAGATGTGTGCTCTAATAGTCACAAACGGACTAGTACTTAAGTCAGAGTAAGCAATGAAGACATTTGGATGTACTTTGTTTTGTAGTTTCAAAAAACGTATTAATCGGTATAAGCACCTCATCAACACCTTCCTTTTATACGCGGGATTCGGACCAGCAGTAGCACTGGATGTGCAACAGACAGCGTGTGATCAGTTCACGCTCGAGTACTTTATAAGTTTCTAAACACACTGATTATGATTATTCAGTAAAAATGATGCATTCCTCGAATTTCCTAGTCTTGTAGACTTCTCACTCATTTTGTGATATCATCATATTCGATTTATTTGTTTCTAACTTGTAGATCCCCACTTGATCTGTTGTTTGTGCAGTGTATTAACTTAAGCGATTACATAACGGCAACAATGTCCTATATTATTTGTCGGTTTTGTCCCTATTTCTAAAGATGCTCCTTTTCACTAAAAACACTGACCGTCTTGTGTTTCACAGAGCTTCAGTTACACAAATGTTATTAGGCATCAGCTGATTTTTCTAAAACTATATTTAAGATACGTTAGTCCTAAATCAGATATTTTCCATGGTACGAAGCGAAAATCATCAAAATACTGGGCCAGTAGATTAAATTAACAGTACGAAAATTCTTTGCAGTTTATTCTTCAAAGACACATTTATCATTGTGTTTATCATCTCATAATCTTCACTCGCAAGACAGATTAAGAAACTATGGTTGGGAGTAGACATCGAGCTTAAAATATGGCAATGTTATTGTACAAAATGGATTATAATAAACTCAGACAAAGTGTAGCTACATTTGTTCATTGGATGGAGGTTTCTAATAACCTATATATTTGGATCGAGAATACATGCATTAAAAGTAGTTCAGATTAATGGATTAAGGGTTCTCACATGATTTGATGGCAGATTCCATTGAAATTCAATAATAGTCAGACTATCCGTGAAAGTCGAAGTATCAAAGTTATTTTTGGGAATGTATGACTGAAACTGAGAAAACAACTGTAAATATTGATAGGCTTCTATTGAATAACATATTGTAATCTGATTAAACAGGCGTTTTAGTTCGGGATCAAATTACTTTAAGAGCAATGAACAAAACAGCTACACGACGAACGATTGCTAAACATGAGGAGCAGAATGATGGAAGTTCCGTTTCAGTTTTTACATATATATATACCAATAGACGTTTGCATTATTGTGTAGTTGGATAAACGACAAATGAAAACTAACAATGACATAAGGATTTGTAGCTTGCCATTTTTGATATTCAGGACTGAATGTAGTCAGTCTCTGTTATCATGCGTGCGTTCTGAGACCAGCATCTCCATAAAACATTGTGTATACTTGGTATTTGGCGAGTAGTGAAATTCAGCGAGCGGGTCTCGCCCTACTTTCGGAACCATTGACTAGATGTACATGCATCCCAGAGTCGATGTTCACACTGAAAGTCGAACCCAGTGCCTTACGTTTCAAACATTCCAACATGTTATCCACTGACACGGGTAGCTACTAAGGTTTCCTGGTCCATCTAGGACGAAACCCGGATCTTATATCTCTCTGCTATTCACAAATCACAAATAATTAAAAACGGTACAGCGGTTCACTAAAGTGCACACTGAACATTTCTCTTTATCTAATATGTGTACCATGGATAAAATAATGGGCTGAAATTAAGTAAAGGAATAAATTATTCCCATGAGATATAAGCAAAGTAGAGGCATGCATCAGATTCTCGTCTATAGAGATCAGGATTTCTTTTTGATTAATTTATGAACCTTATCTTCACGTTCATAGAGGTAATAATAAATGTCACTAATTTGCAGAACATATCGGCTGATACATACGTGGATACACACCCAGAAGTTTACACACTGATTATATAGTAAAGAAATTAAGTTTACTTATTCTCACATACGAACAAACCTAGCAGTGGTAAGAAAGATATGGGCGTTAGAAAGTTATTGGTGGTAGGTAGGAACTGATCTAATATCAAACCAGTTTTGATTGCGAGCTGATGTAAGTTGATGGATTAGTGAGAAATAAAACACTGAGCATCTGTATCATTACAGTTCCCAACTAATTAACACTGACGTGTTCGGCCTTTTAGTTTGAGCTAACAAAGAGTAATCCTCATGAAGTTAATGAATCACTGCAGCATTAAATTGATATTTTTCTTACTTACTAAATACGTAGTGTAGTGCGACTACTCTCCATGGTTAATTTGAATTACGTGTAGATTGCAGCTCGGACATAACTGTAGAGGATTTGATTTCGAAAATGATCAATAATAATGATTTCTAGGACTTCAGGTGGTGATTCTTTAAACGACCTCAGTTGTAGATGAAAATCACATAAATTGCTGGTAATAGTTATCACTTCAATCTTTCCGTTTACCAACGCAAACCAACTATGTCAAACTGCAACCCAATAATGTGCTATGAAACAAACATCCCTAGTCAGCAAGTAATACAATCACAGTATCACAAACAAAACTGCACGATCCCAAAAGTTGAGGACATCCTCAAGACACAATTTCACACTGGGAACGAAGGTTCGTAAAACACCAAAGTCCCTATAACATTCACCTTGCAAGATAGTTGGTAGAATAAAACGACGCCAACCGAAGATGTATGATTTAGACCACTATAACACAGACTCCATCTGGAAGACCCATGTGGTGTAAATCTCCCTCAACTATGTTCGCGTGTATCTGCACTTACAACAGTTGCCTTCAATCTACTAGATGCTGTCTTCCTTATTTCGGATGTTGGCAAATATATGGTAGGTGTAATTGTTCCATTACGCTTGATGTCGTTTACACATTCATCAGTCTAGATAGTGGAATATTGTTTCACCATGTTTACGATATCTATGGAATTAGAGTTTCATTAATCATTTCCCCTATACACAACTCAACGCAAATATATTAGTGCAAATTGCGCACTACTTATTCACTCAAGTCAAAAAATAGCTGTTCCTCGATCTCACGATAAAGGTATAATTAAAAATGAGTGTCGACAACTAGCGATGAGATACGACTAGCAGGAGACTAGAAAAGCCTCAACTTCGCATAAACACTTGTTATGCATTATTAGATGCATAAACCTAAAAAAGAGGACCAATGGTCTGTAGGAAACTAGCAGAACACTATTACCTGATTATGATAGATGAGACCAATTCAGCAGGTACACAAAGCCGGTGAGTATATTCATAGTATTTACAAATGTGCACCAAGTAGCGGGAAAAACTAGGTGACTATACTAACACAGTAAGTGGTCATCACACACGATACTAATTTTAGCTCCTAAATAGTACATTTTTCTTCATCTGTAGAAAGACCATACGACATCGGGTAACGAATACAGATAGCCAGTGAACATTCTTGTTGTGGTTTTTAAAGGAAATTAGATTAAGACTCTATACATCATTTGAATTACACGTTGTGGCAGTTACAACCAGGGCGTGACTCACTTCCAGGCCTGGTACGAGTAAAGGGGAATTAAGGAAGCAAATGCTGAGTGAGTGACTATGAGGTATGATGGAAGCAACCCAATGTCGTACAATGAAAACAACAAAGTTTTGTAGCAAAGGCTTTCATTTAATAATTGAATTATTACAAAATACATTGCCCTTATTCAGGTAGGCGATAGTTTGGCGATTTGAAATTTTAGTAAATATATGAAACCAATTCATGAAAACAAGCAAGCTAATAATAATGCATAGGGAACTTTTAAAATGTTCAAAGATTTTTACAGACGAAATACACTGCATCGGATTTCAGAAACGAAACTGTAGCACTTAAGTCACAATATTCATTTTCAAAAACATGGAACATGATGATCTAAGCAAACACAAACATCAGTGCTATAAGTTGGTGGTAGCAGTATTAAACCTCAAATCGAATCAGATAAAACCCTACAGACGAAAATGAATAGTCCAAAAATGGAAACAAGCAAAGGTTAATACATGGGCAATATTTATTGGTGTATCAATCAAATACATCAGAAGAACGATGTATTACATCGTACGCAAAGTTAATTAGTAATTATATTTCTTGTAATAATCGCAAATACAGCTCATTGCATGATTCCCTGGATTGCAATTATTTAGATTATCGTCGATAGTCTGTCCAACCAAGCAAACTGAAAATAAAATGTTTAGAACAATAAATGCATTAGTAATCACTGTATGAGTGCATTTGAGAAGTATGCAGCAAGAAGTCAGAATAGGACAGTATTCCTGATGAGCAATACTTGAGTTGTTTAGCAAAAGACTAAACAAAAAATTTACAGTAATATCCCTCACAAAATGGGTGCAGGATACGGCCAATTTACAAACCTGTAACAACCTTCATTTTGATTGAGATCGAACGCAGGTCGAACGAACACTGAAGAGATGGCTGAATAGACATTACTCACGAAATCCATCCTGTTGGTTTTATCCACTTTGACTTTTTGAGTCCTCAAATCGCAACTGAATGAACATCAAAAGACAGAACCGCTGGCCGACTGAATTATTTGAGTAAATAAAACAGTCACTTATATGCAAATATTGTAAAATAAAATATAAATAAAATATTTGTATGCACAATTAATGGTATGATGTAAATTAGTGGACAGAGATGGGGAGGTGAGCTAACTAAATTAAATATAAATAGAGTCTACCGTACACATAGCAAAACTAGTTTCGCTTAAAAGCTATGACCGAATAACTCGAACACAGAAGTCTCACTAGATTGGGAGTTTGGACTTGATCTTTCATTCCGTATTGTTATTATAAAAATATGGAAATCGACTTTACATGATTGAGTCCTGTATAATCTTCGTGCTTGACAGTGCAACTGACTCCATAATGTCGATAGACGGAACTTGGCACTACTGATACAAAGTAGTACGTATAACAACTGCCTTCGTAGCCTATACCAAAAAGTAAGCCGTGAATAGTTTTGCAAGTACTTTGAATTGATAAAACACCAAGAGGTATTTTGAAGAGCGAGACTGATATTATCTGTTTCGTATCACTGGTTGAATTGCATTCGAAACTATATCATATGTGGTACACCGATAGGATCCCAAAATGAAATAGAATACAAATTCGCTGATAATGAAAATAAAAGCTAATTGAAGCACGTTACTACTTGCACAAGGCCGTTCACTCACTATGTACAGTTTTAGACTACAGCATACGTCTACGTTAGAAAGCATTGAAATTATTACAAAAGGATTACAATAAAGAACCAAAGTCTAACAATAAAGGTTACGGATGAGCAAACCGCTAACTAGTGGCTTAGTAAAATATACTTGTTTTCTCAATCAAATTGCGAACGTTCTGACGTGAGTTTCCCTTACAAATACTTAGAAACACTGGAATAAATTTACTTTATAAAAGTTCATTTAAACTGCAAAATATGATCCGCTATAAACTAATAAACACAAAGACATATTGTGCCTATATTCAGTGAGTGGTTAAAGCACTCAAGTTTTGGTCGCTGATGTGCTAATTGATATCACGTCTCATCTATGGTTTCAAAGTCGAGCAGCATCATTAGTCCCCACAAAGTGACTTCAGGCACAGCATACTGACCTACAGTTGGTAAATGTTACACTATTTGACAGACATATACGTGGATCATTTCGTTGTTTAACAAGAGTTACCATAAAGTGGCATTAACTCAGATGTCTAATGGATCAGTTGCAGATATGAACTATCGATTTATTGGTCGGCATATATAAAAGGATGAAAAGTAACATTAATGTACATAGAATGAGACTAACGTTTTGGTGTCATATGAAATATAATTGACTTCTTGAGACATCTGCTGATAAAACTAGTCGGCTCGCGTCTTATGATGATATACTTTTCATTCATGAACGTAAAAGAGGTTTCCTTGTTATCATTGAGCAGTGATTTGAGCTGAAGCACAAACTCGGGAGATAGCTGAAGAAAAGAAAACCGATTAAGGGAAAATAGTATATAATAGTCCATGCTAATACAAACAGAATACCAGGCGCAAATCAATGTACGAAACGTTTAGAGGTACACGATATGCGACTTATCACATGTACCACGAATGTTTCTAGGTATGAAGTCTTGTTTGTTATATGAGAAACTTGCCGCTCGCTGACATCAAACTGTGTCAACCACACATGTTCTTTGATATTTGATGTCATATACGCCTATTGAGTGTAACTTACATTTAGCCAGAGGAGAGGTGTTACAAACATACTCAACTCAATTCACTCATATCCTATAGTTCAGGTTTCCTTCAATTTTACCACACTAATCATAAAGATGATAAGTTTGTTGATCAATTGCTAAATAAAAGCATTGTTGGACCAACATATAACTCCAAACAGTTAGCAAGTATGAGGCCTCCTTTTGCATATGGGGACGCGCAGTGCGACGGAGCAACTTGACACAAATCTAACTACATAAGAGGAAGTAAACTGAACATAATCACATAAATTAGGCACAATAATTCTTACCAAAGTATCGTGTCTAACCGAGACACATTATCCTTCGAGCGACTTCAACAAAGGACTTACCATAAGCCGGTTTAAAGTCAGACTACATAAAACATATCAGTTGCTAGCATTAGTATCGGTACCAACGCACAGAGAAATCCTGGCTTTTTAAAAAAAGTCACCAATGTAAAATTATAAATACAGTAGTCAGGTGACTAGCTCCCTGAAATTTACATGACCGAGAATCACAAATATCTTTTACGGTGTACAGTTGTTATTCAACTAGATCGAAGATCCTTATCGACATGTTTAGTGGGTGCATGCTAGAGCCTTGTAGACATGAATACACTATCTGGACCCACACTAAGTGAGGACGTGTCGACAGAATTGTTCGACTACTGTGACCAAAACAATAAATCCGTAGTAGACTCCTTAGGTGCGGTTGCATGTCAATCTGATATAACAAGGTTTCGTGGCAGATTATTACATTTTGAGGATAGGGAATTCCCTCAGATAATCATTTTTAGATGAAATATGACTTTGCTCTGTTACTAGCTAAAGTTTCGACGGTATTCGAGGATTTGTTGGACTTGCAGTTACCGGATTCAGAGTATTAAGCAAGGGACAATAATAATCATAAATGAGGTCGTACTAACATCGCAAGGTCTAATCACGAAATAGATGCGTCGCCATTGTTATTGCCAACCGATGTTTGTTTAAGAAATATCCTTAGTAACTCAATTCTTCAGAGTGGTGTAAATGTCTTGGCTAAAGATGAAGAGGTGGACTTACTTGGAAATCAGGACTAGATGAGCCGTATGGAGTACCCTGGTGATCTGTTATGTGTAAATGTTTCAAGCTTTTGTGTTCATCTACATGGTTCTCACACCGTTTTTTCCACTCTTCGGACATTGTTCAATAAAAATAGACGGATACGCCAACCAAATACCGTACCACCAAGCAGAAAGACCAAATCACTTGAAGTGGAGACTGTCAATAGCCTCGAGGCCGGAGAATTCTATATGTAGAAGCGTATCTCGCCCACACACTAATTTTATCAAATCAAAATCTTACTTGCATTAGTTGTGGTCTTTGCTGCAAACTGATTGGTTCATATGATAACTGAACAGACAGGCCTGAAATTTAACCAATTATCTCTATGCCCAGTCTGCACACTATCTTATTTTTGATATTGTTTGGTCAGTAGCTAACTGCCTAAAAATGGGTAGTAAGCCATGACACATTTCATGATATATTTCCGTGGTTGTTTCCCAAAATCCTATTCTCTGGGCGAAGTGACAATTCCTCGTTTTGGAAGCACAGGGGCGTGGGTGTAACACCACTAAAATACCAATGGGATCTAGAGTCGAGCACTCAATGTAATACACTTTTTGTAGCCTTTCCATGCATTTCGTTGAAGTTAGTGCTTGAAGAAATCGTTTCTCCAATTGCTAATATGTTCTTATGAAAATATTCTTAACTTTTTTTTTGGTAAGTTTACTTCTTATCGAGCGGCTTCATGATTTGATATGCTTTCTCTTGTATTCATTTCAGGTGCTATAAGCTTGAATAAAACATTTATGCTAAAGTATAAGAATTATTACATTGTTCTTGAAACTTAGTTACTTACGTGTTCGGGTAGGTCACCTGAAAGTTGAGTGATCACTCACTTAAATATGTCTGTTAGAAAATAAGTCAGAAATTAAATGAGCTTCTAACGAGTCCCAGTGCTATGTGATCCTCTTTCTTAACGGATTATATTACCCCAGGTATTCGCTTCACTAGTCAATTTGTCGACATACAGTTGAATTCTGTAGGTTATACATAGACTTGGTAAATACTGTTGAGACGAATTCACTTATTAATTCAACTGAAGTTTCTAGGTTGTTTTTTTACCAGTCATCCATATGCAACTTAGGACATGGCACATAAGTGTATTTTCTCAAGTTTTCATACCACAACACAGCGGAACGAAATTACTAAACCAAATCGCATAGTAAAATCATTAGCAGCACGAATAGTAAAAATGACCAGGTACAGAGAGAAGAGAAAGTTTGAGGGGATTTCGGAACTCAGGATCTCAGTAAATACATCTAAGGCGTCGTTATCCGTCCTTAAACGCATCACTTAACGTTTCCAACAACAGGTTACAATAACCGTGCGGTTTACTGAAAGTTAATCTGAATCCACTTACTCAGCTCAGTCCACCAGTCAGTTACTCCACGGGCTGATGACGCGTTTTGGTCTGAGATTACCTGCTTTCCTCTAGCATATTCCTACTCCAGACAGTAATACTGATCGTGGTGGGCTTTGGGTATATGAATAAGTGCTTTTTAAGTCCAATGTTTGCAAAGTACCGTATACTGAAGGCCTTGAGTTGACTGATCAGGGATAAGATAATGCGTCATTTATTTTGCACGAAATTTAACATGCATTGTTATCATTAACAAAGTAAATATTGGCAATATTCGGTTATTGGAGTAATTGGAATCAATAAAAACGTGCAACCAAAAAGTCGATTTTATATAGTGCTTAGGCTAAAGTACAAAACATACCTGCTCCTAAGGCCAGCTTTGTGATTAATTACTAAAATATGATTCAATGCATAACCAGGAATGCATAGTGAAGCTCTAACCCTGAATCTCAAGTTTCGGCAAGACCATGATCGATAAAAAACTGGTAAATTAAAGTATGGCAAATCTTGTATTTTGGCGCAAAATTTACTTATCCACATATTGAATAGCATTGTGGGATTGTAGCTTGTGTCCATTCGTTATGAAAACTATTACTATAACTCAATCTTAAATTCTAACTTTAAATCCTGATCTTAATTCCTCATACTAATTTACAACTCTGTTTTGACCCTAGTAACTAGTTTATTTGTCTCAAAATCATTTGAGCGTCACTCAGTAGTTGTCCAGAAATTTTAGTCCCCTAATTCAAAACTTCAGTTTGACTCCTAATACCTAATTCTAACCTTTTTGCATTATATCTGATATCATTTACTGATGAAAACTCAATTGGGGATTATCTTAACTCACTACCCCGACTCATGATATCTAATGTACATATGTAAACTTAAACTTTTTCTTTGCTATATGGGATAATTTGTCATGTGAGGGTCGATTATTCAGATCAAAAGTGTTATTTCATTGTTCCGTATTGTTAATTAATAAATAAGCAGACAACGTATACGGAGTCGCGGATATGTCAATTCAGATCAGCATAGTGTGCTCTTGCCGAAATAATATGTTTTGGATATTGTGAGAAATAGTCATTTGTTAGATAATCCTGTTATTTTTTAGAACCAGCGCCTCAAGGGGAATTAACAATAAGAATCTATGATATTCGACATCATGAAGGAAGATTCATGGTCTTGGAGGAAAGCAGATTTGTGTTGTGTCATAACTTTCTAACCATGACATGAAATATTTACAGAGAACGTTAAACCCGGATACTGGGTAATGTCTTATCCGTTGGTTGCTGAGAAATAACCTCGGCTGAAATATTGTGATAGGATAATTCCGCGCTGTGTTTACTGTCAGATATTTACCTATATGAGTCGACTTTTAACTATTAATATGCATATTCAGGCCTAACGAAATAACTCCTACCGCCGAGAATAGCAAATACATCTCAGGGGGTCATTACGAGGTAATCGTGCAGACGAAATGCAGCATTTTAAACTTCAATGAACTAATAGCATATATTAATTAGTTAGTAATGACTTTGGTGTCGAATATAGTAGGTACCCAGTGGTGATTTAACATTGACATCAAAAGCTGGGTCATAATCTTTTGCTACTATGTTTGGTCACCGACGTGCTCTCCTAGCACCTGATCAACCGGCTATAGAAAAGAAGGAAATGAAGATAGCTCTGTTATCGGAAGCCGAATGGTACCCTTCCGTTCATGTATATTTGTAGGTTGTTAAACTGACAAACACTGTGGACGATGTTCTTGAGTAGAACAATTCACTCAACTGCAACAGTCCTCTCATATTTGCATCTGTCCTACTTTTTACCTCATGAACTTGAGCAGAATATCAGGTCTAACGTACTTCAGAGTCCAGCATCCACAAATGGAAGCAAGATATATGGTATCTTAGTTCCCGCACAAAACCAGTATCACAATAATAAATACCTGAGAAATACAGTATATTACCCCATAGGACTTCGATAAGAAAATTATTTACATCGGAAATTTATTCACTAAGACAAAATATTTCTACTGTTTGGCGGAATATAACCGATACTGCTTGCGACAAAGAATTAAGTATGACTTCAGATGATAGCTTAGCTACCCATCGGGAATAAAATCTACGAACTGATCAACAGCTTTATATCAGGTTTACTTATCAAGTCAATGGTCAGATCTGAATACATTGAACTGGTCAGTATTTGAGAAAAAAATTAGCCGATAATTTAATTCATGTAAACAATTTACATCACCTATAAATTAACTGCTTTAAAAAACGAATATGACTAAAATAATGGGTAACATATTTGCTACTTCCAAATAGAAAACTTCGTGATCTGATCACATCTGGTATGTAATAGCAGCATAAAACTTGAAAATCTACCGGATTAAAGTCGTTTTCAGCTATAGGGATATACTGTTTATACTACTAATCCTGAATGTTTGTTTACAATGTACTTTTCCTATCAGACTTAGTTACCACCTGTAACATTGCCGCTACTTTATTGGTTGTATTTTACTCTTCATTTTTTATGTACAACGGAAATGTCAGATGGTGTATGTAAATGCCATTGTATTACATAGCCTGCATTGATTCATGTGACGACGAAATTAAGTTACTGTAAGTTGTTTATGGAAGACAACTAGATCCTCACAAAAGGACCTTAATTTATTATTCACAGTTCACAACACCATAATTTATCACTACGCTTCCTCAATTAACACCCTTTTTTAAGTGACAATATTCAGTGTCAAAAAGGGTAATATTTCAATAAATAGTTGGTTGAGTCCTGTCATTGTATCGTGTTAACAAAATTTGAGTTGCTGTAAGATCGTACGAAGATATCTGCGTTACTTATGAGGTGGCTGGTCATATGAGCAAAGAAGTTTAATCACTAGGTAGACTACAATTTCGTTTCTAAAATACGACTAACAGAAGTAGTTTCACTGGTTGGATGGTGACCCGCACTACGTCTACTAATTTGCTGTCTAATACGTGGTGGGACTACAATTGATTGTCTTGTGGATGCTGATCAATATCACGAGACAAAACCGCCAATCGGAGTCCCGACTTCTATGATTTTGTACCTCTGAATCCCCCATCTACACCCTCAACCAGCACTCACAGCCTTTACTAGATTGCCAAGTCCTTATTAGTCTACGATCCTGTAGTTCTTTCTCTAGCTTGTCCTCGAGTCGAGAAGTCAGTAACCAACCCCAACTAAATTGTGTTTTAAGCAGACGTAATTTATATACATGCATGCAAGACCACATCACGCCATAAGAATAACAGCTATACACAATCAAGCAAAAACTGACAGTGAGTAAGGAAGACAGTAAATAACAATGTACAGTTAGAATTGCAAATGGTTTTGTTTTTTTGTAGAATATGGCATAATCAAGGACTAATCTTTTTCAATAACATTAACCATTAACTCCGCCTTTAGCCCCTCCAGGGGATACTGCCGGCCCCTAGTCCGGACAAAATAGGAGGATGGTCGGGTATGGGGTTAGCGACCCCGTCCCGCTAGAAACTAACTCGCAAAAAAACGCTAACCAGAAAAAATTATTCAAACCATTTAAACTCTGCCTTGGGAGTTGAAGAAAAGATTGTGACACCTCGTGATGAAAGCCGACTTCCTTCGGAAGTCATGAGGCCGATGCCCCTTCTAACAAACAGAGCTACAGTTTTTGTAGGTACATGGAACGTCCGGACAATGTGGGAGACCGGAAGCGTCTTCCAAATTGCTGCAGAAATAAAAAAATACAACCTGGAGGTGCTTGCAATCAGTGGGACACATTGGACGCAGCTTGGACAACAACGACTATTTTCAGGGGAGCTTCTGTTAT